TTTGGAAAGCCCCCAGGTGATCCTCATGTGCCTACTTGAAGTTAGAGGCCAAGTGTACCAAAGTGCTCACCTTGCTTCATGCTGTGAGTTGTATACTTTAAAGAAGGAAGAACTACCAATGAATTATTCATTTTTTTTGCTTTTACCTTTGTTCCCAAATCTAATCAGTTGTTAATAGGGCTGTCTTGATTATAACCATCCATGAATAAAAGTGTGCTGCTATTTCACACCTGGGATCTAGTGCCAGCCATCATGTTCACAGATAAAACCAATATCTAGGTCCGTGGTCTTAAGCAATTATCTTTTTAAGAATGCACTTGTAAACAGAAGCATACTGTGTAGATTTAATTATTTCTTGCAATAAAAATAAAGCAACATCCAATTTTAAATACAATATGAATAAAATACAGCCTTCATATGTAATTCTTACATTAAAATGAATGGCTAGTTTATTTGACAGTTTCTTTCATGAAATATTGAATGTCTACAATGGCCAGGGACCATTAGGCATGGAGAATATAGCAGTGAAACAGAAATTCCAGCCCTTATGGGTTGGATAGATTTAAGTGGGGGAGACAGACTGTGTCAGTAAGGTAAAGAAGTTAAGATAGATGATGCGCTCCATACGTGCTAAATACCGTATGGAGTATTTTACGGGGTGTCTAGTGTATTCCGGCATTGTTAGATACACAAAGAAAAATCCCTGCCCTCACAGAGTTTATAATCTAGTTTAAAAAACTCACTGAATGCCTCCCAGGGAAACGGAACTAATGAAATTCACACAGGAAGCAAAGAGCTCCAAAGAACTGGTATATGCTGTATATATTGCTCTCTCTTTGGCGTTTCCAGGCCTTTTCCATAACTTCCTTTTCATGCAGTCTGGACCTTATGGTGGAAACGGGCGTAGCTGTTTTGTAAAAACATGGAGGAATGATTTGTAAATTAATGGACTATACAATTTACTCTTCATTCTCATGGCTAATTATTTGTTCTGACCACACATTTGGTCTCTTTGAAAGCCCCAGGGTTTTGCATTCCCATACTATCACATCAAGATACTTGCTGCTCAGAAAGGGACAATATGGGCGATCCAAATGCACCGATGGTACCGTAGTTCTCAAGTTAGGAGTTAAAGGGCCACAGCATCAGCTGGGAATGAGTCGCAAGTACATATTCCGATGTGCTCCCTCCCCACCCCCAACTCAGAATCTCTGGGGTGGGGCCCTGCAGTATGCATTTTAACATGCCTAGAATGCGAGCACCAGATCTAGTATTTAAAAAACACTTGCACTCGCTGGTAGATGCTGATCAAGGCAAAGCAAGCACATGATTATTCACGATGAGAGGTGTGCACGTTAGACTTTGACTTATTTTTCACTCTGTGGGCATCTGCTTCAGATCATAACCACGGATGAGGCTTGAGACACCCTCACATCTGTGTTACAAGTGCATAGGAGGTGGATATACTCAGGTGGGGAAAGTCTACAAACCAAAGATAAGCTGTTGTCCCTAAGTGAGCAATACATAACCACAAGCCTGTCATCTTGTGGCAAATGACCCCAAACGCTGCACTTTTACTGTTTCAGAAACTCCTGTTGACACTGCCTCTGCTCGGCAACGGGTGTTGCTGTTAACATGAGTCTCTTGTGCTACCGTCTGAGCTCATTTGCCTCTGTCTTTATGTCCTTCCCACTTCACCTACCCACTTTTAGTCTGTTTTCCATAACAGAGACCTACTGTTATTTTGTTCTCATTGATTTAGATACGGCACTCATAGAGGAATTTTGTATTCAAGGTAAAAACTGAGTGAGATTGCATTGTTTTGAAATTTATGTTGCCCTTTGAGGTCTTGTAAGGGTTTTTTTGTTTGTTTGTTTATTTGTTTCCTTTCTTTCCCTTCCTCTCTAGCTACAAAAATCTCAGGGAAAAAGAAAACTTGTTAGAGTAATCAGAATATGGCTGGCCATTTCTTTCTGAAGCTTGAGCCTGATACCTCCTCCTTAGTTACAAAAATAAAAGAGACGGTTAAGCCTGATCTGAAGTGTTAACAAGGCCCAGTTAGTGTGGGAAACCTGCTGGGTCAGCTCTGTCCCCACTCCCACCCCCTCTGTGCCCTGCTTGTGGCCAAGCTTCATGGAATGTAGGGCTTGTACTTTCAGGTCATTGACTTACGTATTTTTGTGGGTGTGTTCTCATTGAAGTAGAACATTTATCCCAAAGGAGGCACAGGTCATATGTGTTCATCCGCTTGCATTTTCGCAGAGTGAACATGCCCATGGGATCACCACCCAAAGCAAGAACTGGAACTTAGCCAACATCCAAACTCCCCCCGCCCCCCACTCTTCTCACTTGCTTTCCCTGGTCATTCCCACCTCTTCCTGAAGGTAAACACAGTCTTGAATCCTAAAATCACACACGCATTTTGCCTATTCTGGGGTTTATATAAATGGAATCCTACCATATGTTTTATTCTGTGTCTTTAAGTCAACATTATGTTGGTGAGATTCACCCATGTGTTGCAGGTAGCATTGCTGTGTTATATTTACGTCGTGAGAACCTACCACAACTCCTGTAGCCATCCCACTGTTGCACATTTGGAGTGTTTCCAATTTCTGGATGTTACAGATTCGTGTACGTGTCCTTTGGTACACATACGTGTACATTTCTTGTGAGTATATACCTAGGAGTGGGGCTGCTGTGTTATATGATACACGTGCAACTCTAGCAGAGACCGAACCAGTTTGTCACACGACCAGATTGTGGCAAGTAACACTTGCCACTTCACATCCTTTCTAGCACTTGATGTCAGAAGTCTTTTAATTTTAGCCATTCTGCTGGGGGTGTACTGGTTCCCCTTTTGACTTCCATTCGCATTTTCCTCTTAACTGATGATGTTGAGCACCAACGTGTATTGGTCTTTCAGACATCCTCTTTTGTGAAATTCCTTTTTCAGATCTTTGCCCGTTTTGTCTGTATGGTGGTCTCTCCTATTGATTTTTAGGAGTTCTGTATTCTGGAGAGGAGCCCATTGTTGGATCCGTATTTTATAAATCTTCTTTTTCTGTGTCTTTTGATGAATAGACGTTCTTGCTTTCAATGGAGTTCAGTCTTTTCCTTTATGATCCTTTAAAGAGACTTCTGCCTCTATCATAAAGATGTTCTTCGTGGTATAGTCCAGAATCTTTGGATCTGTGTTTCAATACACAAGCCAGCTGGAATTGATGTTTAGGTAAGGTTGCAGGTGGGGGTTCAAGATCGCTTTCATCTGCGTGTAGTATCGCCTGTCTTAGCACCGCTAAGATTTGGGGCTTTTGGTTTTGTTCATTTGCTTAGTTTTTAAGTAAGAAGCGTTTTTATTTCAGAATAGTTTCTGACTTGCAGAAAAGTTACAAAGCCGTACAGAGAGTTCCCACGTCCCCTCACCAGTTTCCCCCATTGTTGTCCTCTGACGTTCCTGTTCCTGTGGTACATTTGTTGTAGCTAAGGAGTCAGTATTGATGCATCGTTATGAAAAGTCCATACTTCATTCAGTTCAGGACCATTGGGTTTTGACCAACAAAGTGCTATCGGCAAATGCTTTGAGACCCCGTCCTGGTCACTAAACCTTCAGTGACAACTTTCATTGCAGTAAGAGCCAGTGCACAAGGCTCTTTGTGCACATCCTTTGCTCCACATCCTTTTCAACACCTGTTATTTCTTGTCTTTTTGGTAATAGTCATTCTGACAGGTGTGAGGTGATATTTCATTGTGGTTTAGATTTGCATTTCCTAGATAATTAGTGAGGTCGAGCGGCTTTTCACATACTTGTTAGCCATCTGTATATCTTCTTTGGAAAAATGTTTATTCAGATTCTATGCCCATTTTTTAAAAAATGTTTATTTTTGAGAGAGAGAGAGAGAGAAAGAGACAGAGCATGAGCAGGGGAGGAGCAGAGAGAGGGAGAGACACAGAATCTGAAGCAGCCTCCAGGCTCTGAGCTGTCAGCATAGAGCCCAACGCGGGGCTCGAACTCACGGAGTGTGAGGTCATGACCTGAGCTGAAGCCAGACGCTCAACCGACTGAGCCACCCAGGTACCCCTCTATGCCCATTTTTAATCACATTTTTTTTTCTATTGAGTTACAGGAGTTCTTTATGTATTCTGGATATTGTGTCCATACCAGAAATATGACTTGCATTCATTTTATTGATGGTTTCCTTTGCTGTGTATAGCTTTTTAATTCGAATACTTCCACTTGTTTATTTTTGCTTTTATTGCCTTTGCTTTTGGTGTCAAATCCATAAACATCATTGCCAAGGTCGATGTCAAGGAGCTTATCCCGTGTGGTTTCCTCTAGGAGTTTTATGGTTTCAGATCTTAATGTTCAAGTCTTTAATCCACTTTGAGTTGATTTTTGCGTATGGTGTAGGATAGTGATCCGTTTCCATTCCATTGAACAGCTTTCTAGAGAATCAGTCTTAATGCCAGATGCCATGGGGAAGGAGACCTCAGTGTGCCCCTTTGGCCGTGGATATGGATGTGTGGAGAACTGTATGCCTGATCCAGTGTCGTGTCCCTTCCTCAGCCTGGACCTGGGGAGCATCACCAGGAGCCCTGGTTCTGAGGAAGGCAAAGCAGACAGCCACCGAGACTGCTACACCTGTTATTGCCAGTTCGCCTGTTACTTGCCTCTTCCAGGCTTCACCGTAGCAAACCTCAGTGTGTTAGCATGTTTCAGAGCGTCCCTGACAGTCTTAACTATTTTCGCTTTTTAACCTCAAAGTGCAGACTCAGCCCCGGTGACCATGTTTCATTTTCACAGCAGACATTTAAATTATAGCGAGAAAACAAGACTGTTTTGGCTAGCCAGCCCATCCCCATTACTGTTTTATGAAATACTCATTGTTCTTTAACCTGGCCATCACTCCTGTCCTGGACGACACTTTGACGGCCGCTGTGCTGACCCCGGGATGCACGCATGCACACCGGGGTCGTTTTGTCTCTGTCCTGCTTCTCCTCAGCACCATGGGCTCCCGACACTCTCCCAGCCCCGTTGTCTTCACCAGTGCCAGAAGCTCCCCTAAAGAAGAGCTCCATCCTGCCACCTCACAGCTCCTACCTTCCTCCTCCTCCTCCTCCTCCTCGTCTGGTCCTAGGACTTTCTACCCTCGCCAGGGCGCAACCAGCAAGTACCTGATTGGTTGGAAGAAACCCGAAGGAACCATAAACTCCGTGGGATTCATGGACACAAGAAAGTAAGAACTCTTTTGCTTCTCTTCCTGAGTGGTTTGCTTTCAACATGACCAAGAACAGAAAAGGTTGGGGCAATTTCCTGCAAGAGAGGAAGCCACCTGGGGTCTGGGAAGGCATTGGTGTTTGGTAGGGAGATTTTTTTCTTTTCTCCTGAGTAAAACCTGTCTTCAGTTATTTCTCTGCTTCATTCCTTAAATAAAATGTGTGGCAAAACACTGATTTGAGAATCTTCGATCTTGTAGGAAGAGAGTATGTCTGAAGAACAGACTTTGGGATAAATGACCCTTTGGCCCTAAGATGACACTATCCCTTTGATTATATTAATCATAGCCTTCTCATGTCATCTTTAACTGGGCCAGGAGCCACTGGAGGGAGTATTAGAAAGGGACTACCCCTGAATATAAAGAACTTTTTGACAAAGTAGTACAGCAAGAAAAAAAAAAAGAAAAACAAAACCCTACGTGATTCATTCAATTATGTTGTTTGTATTTGTACAAAACTTACACTTGAGATTCATAGCCTGTGGTCTTTTATTAATAAGTCTTGCTAATTTGGGCTTAGTGGAGCTAACAGTTTCCCGTAGAAGAGTGATTTAGTCATCAGAATTTTTTCTTTTGCGTTTAGATTGGTGGTATCTTTCACAAACAGGTACCCCAGCAGATTCACCTTTTCTCTCCTGTACTTCCCCACTGACTTATAGCCTCTGGGCCCATCGCCCGCTTCCCTCAACCTTGTCAGCTGGGCTGCTACCCTCTCTTCCCTTTCTTTCCAGGCGTCACCAGAGCGACGGCAATGAGATAGCCCACACCAGGCTGCGTGCTTCAACCAGGGACCTCCGGGCGTCCCCCAAGCCGGCCTCCAAGTCCACCATTGAGGAGGACCTCAAGAAACTCATCGACCTGGAAAGCCCAACTCCCGAATCGCAGAAGAACTTTAAGGTACAGGACAGAGCCCGGGGTAAATGGCAGTAAGAGAGGCCCAGCGGGATGGGGCTGCTCGCCGCAGGGACATCCTCCTGGAAGTGCTGGCTCCTGGCTCCTCTTCTGTGGAGCCCACCTCCCGCCATCACCCCCTTCCCAAAAATGAGCTCACGCTTGGGTGTTCTGCCCTGCTGCCACACCTCTCGGTCTGCCTTTAGATTAACCTGTCTCTCCCGCCACCAGGCTTTCTTCAGTGTACCAGCCATGCTCCTGATGAAATATTAGCTCAGATGACATTGCTTCTGAGAGCTCTGCAGAGGCACCTTTGTCTCTCTTGTCAGAGTTTTCTGTAAAGGCTTTAGTGCCTTCTGTCCGAAGGGTCCCTCCCCCTGACAAGTAGCCCAGGGTTCACGTCCTGCCTTGTGTGCCCACAGCAGCCTGCACTTTGGCCTCATCTCTCCCCTGACCCACCAGGCAAGCCTACTGGCTGTGTGCCACATACTGGCCCGTCGCTCAGAGAAACTGCCTGATGGACACTCACTCTCTTCACCCCCTCACCCCCAAAAGCCACCTCTTCAGCCCAGCAAACTAGGTCTACACCACATACCTTCAGAACTTTCTAGATTCTCTTTACTTTACCGAGCGTTCTCTTTACTTCCCTCCCAGAATTACAGTCGAGAAATGCCTTCTCTAAACCCAGCCTCCTTCCCCTTCATTTCCCAAGCACATGCTCAGGGTGTATGTTTGTGTGTCAGTGGCCAGACCTTTGCCTGCCCACGTGGCAGCTCTGTTCTGCTCTCCTCAGCTCAGAGGACCACTGAAGCCTACTCAAGGCTCTTGAAGGTGCACGATCTCACACTCCCAGGGCCCGGAGCTGGTTGTTTGCTGACTGGGGCCCAAACATAATTGGCTCTGAGCGTAAGGCATTTCTGTCTGCGGTGTGTGGTGTAGCCCCAGGAGACTGGAGTCTACCTCCAGGAAGGTCAGGGCAGCAAGCTTTGACATGTTCTGTTCTCCAGGTTCTTAGTCAAATGACTGGTAGTCTGTTTAAAGTGACTAGACAGTGTACTTTAGGGACTCTGACAACTGATTGAAGATGTAAGCTACATATTTCCCTGAACACTTGCTGTCCTCGAACTGGGATCAGAGTGCAGGGTGCCATGCCCAGCGGGATGAGCGGCGTGGCCTTGTCCACCCAGATTTTGTCTCCACTCTGGTGTGTGTGCAGCACACGTACATTCCTCTGTGTGTGTGTGTCTTCCTCAAGATAGGTCAGATTTACCTCCTAAACTTAAAAATCCGCATTTATAGAAATTAAACGTATTCCAGAGGCCAGTCTGGAGTTCTGCTGAGAAATAGATTTATTAACATAAACATTAACATCATAAATCATTTTAAAGACTTGCCATTCTTGATTTCTGTAATTTCTGTTTTATAAGCCAGCACTTAAGACTTCTGACTCATCACCCAGGGTACAAATGGTTTCCTTAGCAACCTTGCAAAAGATAGTGCTTGAAACTTCTTTTTCCATCAGAACCCAAAGAGGTATATTAAAACGTTTAAGTACCAGTTTCAAAATAAAAACTATTTCAGATTTTTCCTTTGAGGTTAGAGGAAAATAAAACTTGCCCTGAAAGGAATCTTTCCTCCAGTTCTCTTAACATTTTTTTTTTTTTTGGAAAGGGGCAAACTCTATTCTTTTGATTTACTTATGCAGTAGAAATAATTGAAAGCAAATGTCTGTTTTCCCTTTCTTCCATTTCTTGGCTTTTATTTCCAAAATGAATTATTTTAACATTCCTAGTTGAAACAGGAGCTCACTTTCTTTGTGCCGTGGCTGTATCACCATGAGACCCTCTGCGGAGAAAGTGCTCCTCTGTTGCTGGGAAAGGCTGCAAGCAGGGCTGGAAATAAGGCTGTTTTCTCTCCGGCGTCCTCCTTTTCGGTTTGGTTTCAGATGAGTTTAGCTAAGTGGCTCGATGTGTTTTCCAAGATTCTCTGACTGCCCAGGGCTTTGCTGTGTCAGAAAGGCCAGTGTGCTCCTGAGAGGTTTTCCAGGCCATGCCTGGCTCAAGGCCCCGAGCCACCTCGTCAGGGTCCCAGCAGCGGCCAGCTTTGGGCTGTGTGATCCTTGGAACCCACTCGGACCACATCAGCTTTCCTGGACAGCAAGTGCTACTTAGGAGCGCTGGTTAATATCAAATGACAGGGTCACTCCCGGGCATATGATGTCTGCTGCAGGACGGGACAGACTCTGCCGGGCAGGCTGTGGCTCAGAGAGAGGTGGCTGCACGGCCTCAGCAGCTGCTGTGGAGCTCAAGGAAAGGAAAATAGCAGAGCTCTAACATTCTAAGAAACCTCACTGGGGGACAGAGCTGGGATAACCGTATTTTTCCCGAGGGCTGCATACAGCCGCAAGTGAACACAGTACAAATCAGCGGGCCTGCTTTGCCACCAGTAAGCACTGCTTGCTTATTGCAAGTGTGGGTAACCCATTTCTCTGCAGCCAGGAGGACTAGAAAGAGTGAGAGAACAGGAGACTGACGTGGAGCTAGATGCCTTGTTCCTCAGCTTTGAAACCAGCCCAGAGTAGAGCGGTGGTGCCCAGGTGATTTTAAAGCTCAGGAATTTGAATAAAAGTATGCGTGGAAGCCCAATATGTAGAACTGAGAACACAGTTTCTCTGATGGGAGGGGTGGGTATCTTGGGCTCCTGGGTCCCACCTGAACATCTCCTCTCCCCAGGCAGTGACGCTGTGAGAAACCCATAGGATCCATTGGAGCACTTTGAAAACCCCGCAGCCTTATGGGCTCTCAGATCCCTTCCGAGTCAGCCGTTGACTCCCTTGTGGTTCCTTCCCAGGGCGGGCGGCACTGGGTGCCACCCCGCAAGCACTGTGCGAGGCCGGCAGAGGGCGCTCTCAGAACCAGATAGGTGTGCATATCTACAAGACTGGAGTTGAAGAGGGATGGGGTGAGGGGACATCCCAGTGTGTTGGGAACAAGACTACTTTTTAATGGGTGGAAAGCGTCGAGACAGATTGCTTCCTTCCATCACCTACTCCGCCTCCCATTTGAGTGCAGGATGTTGTAACTTTTAATAAAGCGTGCTGCTCAAAGGATCCCTTCAAGGGAGCTGTTCACTGCCTTGAAGTATGTTAATGTTTCCCCCAGAAGAGGCTAAAACTAAAATTGGTGGAAAACCGTCCTGTGAAACCATCAGGGTGGGGATACTCACTGGAAAAGGAAATCCCTTTGCTGAACCCAGAAGTGCTAAAAAAAAAAAAAAAAGAAAAAGGGACCAGTGTTTGAATGGAGAGACCCGGGGCCTGGTGTGGTTGGCAGAACCTTATGTGATCATCCTAGAAGCCTGCAGACACAGAAGAGAGAATCTGGCTTTAGTTTTTAAAATTGTAATCGGCAAGCCATTTAACCTTCGTGATGCCCACTCTTCTTTGAGGTGGAAAGGGAAATCACCATTTCCATACCCAGTTCCCTGTACTTAAAGACTCAGAATTTATCACAGCAGCTTAGTTTTCTAGTTTTTCTAGTTTTCTAGGCAAGCTTAGATGTACCTTGCATTTAACTCCTCGTGAGTTTTTAGAAGTGAGCACACTTTCTACACAGTTGGCTACTCCTGGGGCTCATTTGCAATGTGTTGGATTAATAATTTTTTCACATTTAGGCAGCAGCTGTGCACACCATTTCCTGGGCAGCTTTGACATGATTAACCCTTGGTTTGTTGAACAGAAGCATGTTAGGCACAGAGCCCATGAGTGAACCTGAGTGTGTGCTCTATTCTCAGCGTCCTGAAAGAAGACGTGGCTGTGTCATCATCCCTCTGCCTCTTCAGAGTGTCACGGAAAGTCCCACAGAGGCCTTCTGCCAGCTATGACTCAGCCCTCCTACTCACGTCTTCACCTGTCCTCCACATTGTTCTCCCTGCCAAAGTGAACACTAGCCTGAGAGCCATGGAATAAATGTAGCTTTATTGCTGATAGACCAAATACTCTGTTGGCTCTCGGGCTGGATATTCAAACATTGTTAATATATCTGTTGTTTCGCAATGAATGGGATTCTCAGAAGTTCACTTTTTGCAGAAGAATCTCAAGTAAAATCGAATCTGGTGACAAAGGCAAAAGAGAGAACAGCTCTGTGGAATGTCAGCCATTTGTATATACCTGTATAAATATTTGTCACTTAAGATGGCTTCCCTATTTTAATTTCATAAATAGAAATCCATCCTAAAAAATAATGTTTAAAACTCATTGAATGTATTAGTAATTGATGTTTATCAAGAGGCACCTGCTACTAGAGTTAATAGATCACGACGGTCCAGTGCTCTTGTTGCCCAGCGCATATGGCATCACCTGCTAAGCTTCTGGGGACAACCTCCTGGCACTGTGGCTGTTCCCCTGGGGACCATGATGTCACTTAATAGCACCGATAAACACTCCAGTCCAGTGTTTGCATTTACTCCTCGTAATAATCCTGAGAAATGCTGGGCTCAGATTCGGTCAATGGCACGGGACTCAAATAAAACTCACATGTGTCTGATCATCATCTTGTTCTTACCGTGACACAGTCCTGATGAATCTGCTTAATCTCACACCTGAATTGTGTGCTGAGCACCAGTAGGCCATAGGCCGCGTGCTGGGCCTTGAGGACAGGATGGCCAGGAACTCCCATCTTGGCTCTGAAGGACGTAGACCGAGATGGTGGAGCCGGAGGGGGAGGTGGTGTCTAAGAGCGGTGATTTCGTCCGCCCACCCGTCCCCAATCCGAGACTTGGGTGTGTGACCCGAGAAATTTACTTCTTGTTGTCTCGACACTGTTTTTCAGTTCCATGCGCTCTCCTCTCCTCAGTCTCCTTTTCCTACCACCCCCACCTCAAGGCGGGCTTTGCACCGGACGCTGTCAGACGAGAGCATTTACAGCGGGCAGAGGGAGCACTTTTTCACCTCAAGGCCTTCACTTCTGGACCAAGCCCTGCCCAATGACGTCCTCTTCAGTAGCACGTACCCTTCTCTTCCCAAGTCTCTTCCGTTGCGGAGGCCTTCTTACACCTTGGGAATGAAGTCGTTGCATGGTAAGTTGGTTTTTCTGCCGCCGCCGAGCAGCCCTGCCGAGGGAGGTGAGTCCCCAGAAAGAGGGGCCACTCCATCTGCTCAGAGAGGCGTAGCTGGAGCAAGTCTGGCTTGCATGCTCAGGTTCTCTGCTAGCCACCCGTCCCTCAGCCTCTCACCTGTAATCCCAGCCCACAGGTACCGACGGTCAGCCTCGCCAGACCGTAAGTGTTACCTGTTTCATTTTGGTTTTTACTGAAGTTTAACCAACATGTAACATTATATTAGTTTCAGGTGTACAACCCGATGATTCGATGTTTGTATTGTGAAATGATCACCACAGTGAGTCTAGTTAAGATCTGTCACCATGCATAGTTGCAAAATTGTTTTTTCTTTTGATGGGACCTTTTAACATTAGTCTCTTAGCAGCTTCCAGATACGCAGTTATTAACTGTAGTCACCATGTGGTACATTGCAGGAAACCCCGTGACTTATTTGTCCTTCTCCAATTTATTTCAATCGGCATAATGCCCTCAAGGCCCATCCATGTTGTTGCATGTGGGAAGATTTCATTTTTTAAGGCTGAGTATTAGTCCGCTGTGTGTGTGTGTGTGTGTGTGTGTACCATTCATCCATCATTGGACACTTAGGTGTCCATTTAGCTACTGTTTCCATCTTAGCTATTATAGATAATGCTGCAGTGAACATGGGGGTACAGTATATTTTTTTCAAGTTAGAGTTGTCATTTTCTTCAGGTGAATACCCAGAGTGGAATTTCCAGATCATAGGAATAGTTGGATAGTTGGATCATATGGTAGCTCTGTTTTGAGGAAACCTCCATACTGTTTTCCATAGTGGCAGCACCAATTTATATTCCCACCAACAGTGCACTAGGATTCCTTTTTCTCTACACCCTTGCCAACACTTGTATCTTCCCTTTTTGATAATAGACATTCTAACAGGTGTGAAGTGATACCTCATTTTGGTTGTGATTTACATCCCCCTAATGATTAATGATGTTGAGCATCTCTTCATTTACCTGTTGGCCGTCGATAGGTCTTCTTTGGAAAAATGTCTATTCATATTCTCTGCCCATTTTTTTAATCAGATTGTCTTTTGGCTCTTGAGTTGTAATGGTTCTTTATACATTGTGGATATTACCCCCTTATCATATATGATTTACAAATATTTTCTCTCATTCCATAGGTTGCCTTTTCATTTTGTTAATGGTTTTCTTTGCCATGCAGAAGCTTTTTAGTTTGCAGGTATTCCACTTGTTTGTTTTTGCTTTTGGTGTCAAATCCAAAAAGTCATCATCAAAACTGATGTCAGGGAGCTTACTGAAGAAAACATTCTGGAAGTTTTATGGCTTCAGGTCTTACAATCAAGTTTTTAATCCATAATGAGTTAACTTTTTTATGTTGGTTTAAGATAGTGCTCTGGTTTCATTCTTTTGCATGTGGCTGTCCAGTTTTCCCAGCACCATTTATTAAAGACCATCTTTTCCCTATTGGATATTCTTGGCCCCTTTGTCATAAACTAATTGACCGTGTATGCATATGTTTATTTCTGGGCTCTCTGTTCCATTGATGTATCTGTTTTTATGCCAATACCATACTCTTTTGATTTCTATAGCTTTGTAGTATAGTTTGAAATCCGGGATCGTGATGCCTCTGGCTTTGTTTTTTCCAAGATTGCTTTGGCTGTTCAGAGTCTTTTGTAATTACATACAATTTTGAGATTGCTCGTTCTCCTTCTGTGAAAAATGCCATTAAAATTTTGATAGGAATTGCACATTGACTCTGTAGATTGCTTTGGGTAGTATGGACATTTTAACAATATTATGAGCATGGAATACCTTCCGTTTGTGTCTTCAGTTTCTTTCATCGATGTCTAATGGCTTAGAGTGTACAGGTCTTTTACCTCCTTGGTTAAAGTTATTCCTGGGTATTTTATTCCTTTTGATACAATTGTTTTCTTAATTGTTCTTTCTGATACATTGTTATTAGTGTATAGAAATGCAACAGATTTTTGAGAATTGATTTGGTATCTTGCAACTTTACTGAATTCCTTTATTAATTCTTAAGAGTTTCTTGGCAGAGTCTTTCGGGTTCTCTAATATAATATGCCATCTGCAAATAGTAAATTTTACTTCATGTTTGGATGTCTTTTATTTTCTGTTTAATGCTCTGGCTAGGACTTCTAATACTTTATAGAATCAGAATGATAAGAGTGTGCATCCTTGTCTCGTTCCTGACCTTAGAGGGAAAGCTTTCAGCTTTTCACCATTGAGTGTGATGTCAGCTATGGACTTGTCATATATGGCCTTTATTATGTTAAAGTACATCCCCTCTATACCCATATTTTGAGAGTTTTTATCGTAAGTGGATGTTGATTTTTGTCAGATGCCTTTTCTGCACCTATTGAGATGATTATATGATTTTTATCCTTCATTTTGTCGATGTTATATATCACATTGATTGATTTGTGGATGTTGAACCATCCTTACATCCCTGAGATAAATCCCCCTTGATCATAGTATATGGTCCTTTTAATGTATCACAGAATTCGGTCTGCTAATTTTGCATCCATGTTCATCAGAGACATTGACCTGTGATTTTTTTCCTTACGGTGTCCCTGTCTAATTGTGGTATCTGGGTAATGCTAGCCTCATAAAATGAGTTTGGAAGTGTTCCTTTTTCTTCTTCTTTTTTTGGAAGAGCTTTAGAAGGATTAATTCTTCTTTGAATGTTTGGTAGAATTCACCAGTAAAGTCCTCTGTTCCTGGGCTTTTGGTTGAATCAGTAGACACAAACCTCCCAACCATCTCTTTACTAGTAATGGGTCTGTTCAGATTTTCTATTTCTTCATGGTTCACTCTTCATGCCTTTTAGCATAGCAGGCAGCACTCAGTCTCATAATCTTCATGATTCAGTCTTGGTAGGTTGTGTGTTTATGGGGATTATGCATTTTGTCTTGGTTGTGCAATTTGCTGGTGTACAATTGTTTGTAGTAGTCTCTTTAAGATCCTCTGTATTTCTCTGGTATCAGTTGTAATGTCTCTTCTTTCATTTCTGATTTTGAGTCTTCTCTTTTTTCTTGGTGAGTCTAGTTAAAGGTTTGTTAATTTTATATTTTGTCTCTTTGGGTTTTTTTTAGTTTCTATTTCATACATTTCCACTCTGATCTGCTACTGCCTTCCTTCTACTAACTTTGGGCCTAGTCCCTTCAGTTGTAAAATTAGGTTGTTGATTTGAGATGTTTCCTGAGGCAGGCATTTGTCACTATGAACTTGCTTCTTAGAACTGCTTTTGCTGTATCCCATAAGCTTTGGTATGTTGTATTTCCATCTTCATTCTTTTGAAAGTATTTCTTGATATCTCTTGTGATGTCTTCTTTGACCCATTGGTTGTTCAGTACCATGTTATTTAGTCTCCACGTATTTGTGAATTTTCCTTTTTCTCATAATTGATTTCTAGTGTCATACCATTATAGTGGGAAACGATATTTGATTTAATTTCAGTCATCTAAAATTTATTAAGACCAGTGACCTAACATATGATCCATTCTGGAGAATGTTCTGTGTGTGATTGAAAAGAATTACATTCTTTTGCTTTTGTATGGAATGTTCTATATAGAGCTGTTAAGTCCATCTGGCCTAGTGTGTCATTTAAGGCTGATATTTCCTAATTGACTTTGCCTAGATGATCTATCCATTGATGAAAGTGGGTTAACAAATATCCCCTATTATTGAATTGCTGTTTCTCATTTTAGGTCTGTTTATATTTGTTTCATATATTTAGGTACTCCCATGTTAGGTGCATAAATATATACAAATGTTACATCCTCTTATTGGATTGGCCCCTTTATCCTTATATGTCTTTGTTTTAAAGTCTTTTTTGTCTGATAGCAGGATAACTATACCAGTTTTCCTTTGGTTTCCATTTGCATGGAATATCTGTTGTCATTCCTTAACTTTCAGTCTGTGTGAGTCCTTATTTCTGAAGTAAGAAGCATATAGACATATACAGAAGTATATAGAGGGGTTGTGGTTTTTTTTATACAGTCACCCTGTGTCTTCTAATTGGAGAATATGGTCCATTTACATTTAAAGTAATTATTGATAGCTAATACACTTTTTACTGTTTTGTAGTTCCTCTGTGTTCCTTTCTTCTTCAGCTCTCTTCCTTTGTGGTTTAATGACTTTCTGTAGTGGTGTGCTACAATTCTTTTCCCTTTATATTTTGCGTTACCTATTGTTAGGTTTTTACTTTGTGGTTACCATGAGGTTTTCATATAACAACTTATAACACTTTACTTTTGGTTCATAACAACTTACGTTTAAAAGTATTCTAAAGTTCTACATTTTTACAACCCCCCCAACAATTTATGTTTTTGATGTCACAGTTTACACCTTTTTTATCTTGTTTATCCCTTAATTAGTTACAGTTGACCCTTAAGCAACAAGGGGGTATGAGGTATCAACCCCCTGTACAGTAAAAAATCTGTGTATAACTGTTCACTTTCCCAAAATATAACTATTAATAGCCTACTGTTGACTGGATGCCTTACCAATAACATAGTCATTTGCAAATATTTTGTATGTATTATATACTGTATTCTTACAATAAAACTAAAGAAAATATTGAAAACTATAAGAGAAGGTACATTTACGGTACTGTACTGTAAGTCCACCTTGTCTGCTTACATGATTAATCATTGGTCAGTACCTACACCAACTTTGTCTCATGATACAAAACACTGTAGATGTCACACGTATTATTAACACTAGACAGCAAAAGTGAAAAGGAATGCATATTTATTTACAAGGATAATATTTATGCACTGATGATGAAGCAGCAGCAATATGATTACTCTATGGTAGCCTAGTGGAATTGATACGATAGCCTAGCATATACACTAATGAATGAATTGCTATAAAAGTTTTATGGCATAAAGTATTAGTCATATGTATAGCACAGTTTTAGAAACATGGTTACGTTAAAAAAAAAAAAAAAAACAC